TGTAGTGGTGGGGCGTTATCACACCTCCCTCCCCGATTCCCACTAGCTCACTGACCAGCGAAATGATTGGGGAATTCTATTGTGTGATAATGATGATGCTGAAAGGTGAAATGCTCAAGTGGCCATTGGAGTGTGACCAAGAAACTGACTTCACTCTTGACGGACGGTCGGGCGGGCGCAGGAACCCGAAGCAACATGGCGGTGACACACCAGTTTTCTGTAGAGGCCATTCTCCGTCTGGGTGGTAAGCAGCATTCATTTTTAAGCTCTTTTTATGTGAAATGTGGCAGTACTCTTCCAAGTGAAGACTGAAAACAGCCAGCGACCACTCCGATGAGACTTGCTGGGGACATAGTCGCCGACCTCATGAAGTGTTAGCCGAAATTCTGAAATGCGCTTTTGATCAGAAAAGGTAACATAGGTGCAGTTGTAGAACCGATTATCATGCGGCAAAATGTTGTGACATTTCGGGCTCCTTAGAATGTTGGCTTTTGAATGCACTTCTTTTCTACCTCCTGTGAAAATCACGCTTGGCAAAAATGACTATTAAGTTATTATTCATTTTTCATATTAACTTTCGGAGTCCTTATATTTCATAGAAAGTATGCATAAAAGTATGCTTTAGTTTACTCATCCGCTAGCCAGTCACGTCACTTTCACAATTTATACCCGAAAAAGGGCATGTTTGGTTTTTTGAAAAAGTTCCCCACTACCGAATAATTTCGAGCCAGATCAGCCATTGCGTTAGCGTCTAGCAATTTCAGTCTGCAAGGAAAATCATACATTCCGCTATGCCTTTAAGAAGAAACCATGTGGAACTCGTAACATTTGGCAATGGATGCGGACTTCGTTGTATACCACATAAGAAGCATTAATAAATACAGAGGTACGATGTTGCGCTAATGGGCATTGCACAATTTTGAAGATCGCATAATTAGAAGTTTTCTAAAAAATCAAAAGGCACTTTTTCTCCAAGTATAAAATTTTAAGAAAACGTAGTCTGCTACCAAATAAGTACAAGAAAGAATATTTTGTGCGTGTTTTCTGCTAAATTTATTGGAATTTATAAAGCAACGCAAGTCAATGAGAAAAACGCATAGTACTTTAGTAGTCATTTTGTCAAGTGCGGTTTTTACAGGAGGAAGGAAAGAGGCGCGTCCAAAAGCCAACATCCTTCCAAGTCGGAAATTTCATAGATTATGGCGCGTGCTAATCAATATTACAATCCCATCTGTGTCATCCTTCCTAATCAAAAACGCATTCCAGAATTTTGACAAACATTTCATGAGATCGGCCACTGAATTTGTACATGTATAAGTATTTTAAGGAAATAAGTTCTTTGCAACGGGATAACAAACTTTATTTCGTAAGTTTTTGACTCTGGTTTCTCAGGCCAACCTCACACGTGAAGCAACAGTACAAAACTGTCAAATTTTAAACAGGTTTAACAACTGACATCGCCTTGTCGTTCCTGCCAGTCGGCCTTTATCATAGATAGGCATCGCGTCCTGATTGGCTATCATCTTTTTCCTTTTTCCTTGTGATTAATGTACACATTGTCTATGTCGATGTATCAGTTGATGCATGCTTTTTCAGAATGTGTGGTCCCGAAAATCTCTCGTCCTTTCTTAGATGCACAGACACAAAATAATGCGAGTTTTGTGCTAAGCGAATTTATGTTTAGTTTCCAGTGCTTGCACGGGAACTTGTGACAAGTGGTCTTGCCTTTTTACTGCCAGCTGATGACCATGTATGCGTCTAGAAGCTGATTTTCCAGTCTGGCCTAAATAAACAGCATTGCAGGTGTCGCATGATATCTTATAGACGATTTTTGTCAAAATATCGAACGTTATCCTCAGGGTGGCAGGCCGAATGCGTAGATTAGTCGTCGGCTTGTGCGCCGCATGTATTTACCGCCTCCTCAGGTGTCTTTTGATGAGCTTGGACATTTTCATGTGAAAAATTAAGCACCTGATTGGAACAGGCTCTTTTCTTGTCTTTTTTTCCTAAATCTCGTTGCTTCATACATCGACGAACAGAATCTCTAGGATGCCCATTCTTGGAAAACAGGTTAGACAAATAATTTAATTCGGCACCGGTAAGGTGTATGACCCCCAATTAACTTGAGCTAGCCTGTGGACTGTGATATACGTTGAGTGGTGGTAGAGGTGGTTTTACGTGTGGGCCAGCACACAGGACGGAGAGCAAGAAGTCACAGAAAATCTATCAATTTCTGCCGAAAGTCTTATCGTAGACTGTCATTTGGCAAAGACAATGAGCAAGGTAATTAAAAAAGGAAAAAAACACTTTTGAAGAAATAACGGACTTTGAATAAATGCTGATGATAAGTTTACACTTAGTCAAAAAGGCAAATAAATCTCAACCAATGGGAACGGTGAATAATAAATGATGTTCACAGTCACACTGAATTTTAGGGTATATTTTTTGGAGTTGCCATGCACTTTTGGGCCCTGCATCCTATCGTTGCCTTTAGTTCCGCTCGGTAACTTTCGTTGTCAGAGCAGAGAGATATCGCTCGATTAAGGAGCCTGTTAACGACACTCTTTTTTTAAACGATAGGGTGATTGCTCTCATAATGCAAAAGAACTGATGTGTAAAACGTCCCGTGAGTTCTTCTCGCTTCAAGGAAATCAAGAAATGAGAGTTTGTCATCAACCTCTTTTTTGAGTGTGAATGTTATTCCTGGAAGTGTTTAGCTAACAATGCTACGGATAATTTCCAGTTTATCTCTTTCAGCATCAACGAAGGTACTATCAATAGTTAGGGTTAACTAGTGGTAGTGCGACAGCTTCTAATCTTTACCTGTTGACTTCTTCAAGAAAATCAGAGATGGGTGATCCCATAGACTTCTTTCAGCTTTTGATAGTATTTCTGTGCAAGTAAAAAGTCCTTTTTAGACATAGATTGAAGAGTTCTAGCAAAACAGGAGAGTAAAAACCCATTTCGTAGAAGTGGAGAGTTTATTCTGTGCACTACCTCGCAAAATCCAGTGAAGAATGAGAGACAACAGCAAATGTTACCATCATCTAATCTGCTGCAATTTTGAGTCCTTATAATTTGTCCAGAAATGCTACTGAATCCTTGACTGACGTTGCACAATCCTTTGCCAGTAGATTTTGTGGAACAGCCAGTTAGAAATCTTGTGAGTAGGTGCATCGATTGACGATATTATCAGTCGCAGTGGTATTTCGGGTTTGGAAGTCTTAGGCAGTCCAGTGATCTTAGCGACGATTATTCCATTTTGTCGCAGGGATTCGGCAATGTCACCTGATATATGGTTCTTCCCGGTAAGAGGTTTTAGAATATTTTCAAAAATTGTACTCTGAGCTACGGTGGGATGGTTTGCACAGTGCTTCCAACAAAAGTACTATCTAAGTCATTCTGACAGACAGTTAGCACGCATGGAGACGAATGCCCGAGTTCCAGGTGAAGAAGAAGAAGAAGAAGAAGAAGAAGAAGAAGAAGAAGAAGAAGAAGAAGAAGAAGAAGAAGAAGACGAAGAAGAGGCAGACCGACTGGCCGATTGATCGAACTCTTACACGAGTTCATCATCAGAGATGACAGCAGCAGCAGCAGCAGCAGCAGCAGAACAAGTGACAGATATGGGACGTAGTAAACAATTGGCGACCAGCGCCGCAGGTCTGTATGCCGAAACCAGATTTATGGGGTTCACGTCAAAGGTTCGACCTTTAGTTAAATCTTGACTTTTCTTGCATCCGGCGCGGGTCAGTGTTTTCGCGCAAAGGAGGCGCAGTTGCTGGGGCGAGGGATTAATTCGCCTAACATTTCGCAGATGGAAGTGGGCGCAATCCAGAAGACGAAGATGTGATCGCTGAAACATGAAATTTATTGGCCTGACGTTTCGGATTCTCACTCGAGCCCATCATCAGAGACAGTTGCAGACGGAAGTGGGCGCAATCGCTGGCAAGTCCAACCGACCCGTCTTCGCGTGCCACGCGCGATCTGATTTTCACCGCATATACTTGGTGAGAGGTCTCGGGCTTCGCGTACTTGAGGTTGGGGTATAATGACGGCAATGAAGGGGCTAATTGAAGCCCAACGCTCGATTTTGAGGTGGACGGTGTTATTCCTTTGTTATGACCCGGGAAAAAAAGGTAGGACAGAAAGAGTGCCGGTTCAGAGGACAAGCACTTTATTGGTAACTTGCGGACACGAGGGGTTGCAACTCGTAGGAAAAATACGCTATTTATATTGGCTCCTGTGCGCTCTGGAACATTCCGTCCAATCACGTGCCAGCCGTTGAGGGCGTTCTAGAATGTTCCTGACCCGGACGTGCTGGTCGCTGATTGGCCACCGCGTGCGCGATAGCCCCCCCTCCTCCCCCGCGGAAACGTCTGGAATGTTCGACCAGCCATTGGTTGTGCCGCACACGTGAGCAAAGCCACCACACGTGCTCGACGCTGCAGTGCACGCCGGTCGGCCGTCCAACTTCACACGTGTCTCACGCCGCCGGCTTGGTCCCCTGTTCAACGCATTAGGCCGTGGCTTTACGCCGCTTGCACTCTCCATAACATCCTTCATTAGGGAATCTTCCAAACCACACGTCTCAACGCGTCCTGATAGGTTCAACCGTGTCAGTAAGGATTACAATTTCGCTTTGTCAGTTTCAGGTTCTCTTACCTCTCCCACCTGCCAGGGGGCTGGTTAAGACCAAGCCAACTGCTACTGCCCTTGGAACCCGTGGCCGACAGAGCCAAACAACCTATCAGGGCGCACCACACAAGACACGGGGGTGGTACTATAATAAAAGACTGCTTGTAGGCGTTAGGACTGCTTTTCAGGGCGTGAAATCACACAAATTAAGCTTAAACATTACGGTCGCTATGTTGATGATATCTTTGCAATTGCCACTGCAGAAACCGACGTAGCTACCCTATTAGATGGTGCAAATCAGGCACATCCCTCGATCACATTTATGCTGGAGCTCGAAACGGCCGGTTCGCTCCCTTTCTTAGATGTTCTTCTAAGCAGGAGACCTGACGGGGGTGTCCGAAGAAGCGTCTATCGGAAGAAAACCTGGTCTGGATAATACATGAACATCGCCAGTTTCGTACTCCTCAAAATAAAACGAAATCTAGTCCGATGTTTGGCAGAAAGAGCTAGAAAAATTTGCTCAGCAGATAGCATCGATGAGGAGCCCAGAAAACTCCTGGACTTCCTTCGCGAAAACGGTATCCTGACAGGTTTATTGCAAAGAACATTACCGAACGACCTCCATGCCGACCGCCGACAAGAAAACTTCGTTCCTCAAAGTCTCTTTCCAAGGAGACTCTGCGAGTGAACCCTTAAAGAGGCGCCTTGATCAAGCTGTCTCGCGAACCTTCCCAGCAGCAAGGGTTCAAATAGCATTCTCTACTAACCCTTTTTTACGCGGAGAAGGTAAGCATAATTTGTCACCGCAGAACACCTCAATGTGCTCCTGTGGAGAAGGTTATATTGGTCGCACGAGTCGACGCTTATCCAAGGGAATACGGGAAGACCTCTCGGCATGGCTTGGAAAAGGAGAAACGAGGAGCATAAGCAGCGCCATTCTCGCGCATGTTGTCGATTCCGGACATCGCATGGACCCCAACGAAGCTTTTCGTGTGATTTATAAGGTCCCATCGAGCTACCCTAAGCTACTAGGTCAGCGTTTGTTAGCGACAACAGAAGCGGCCGCCATTAGGTTACGAAAGCCAATCTTATGCGCACGGAAGAACCACGTTCAGGCTGCGCGCCTACAGTGGTCGAAGGTCGACTGACGCTGCAACTCTCCCCGCGCCCTTCCTCTCTCACACCGCCCCTGACAGTGACTGCTATTACCCCCTCCCCCACATTCCCACACTTCGCCTGCGTTTTAAGGAGAACTTTTATCGATTTCTCTTATCGCTGAAATGTTTTACTTCTACCCCGTTCCCATATAGCTGTATTGGCCCGGCGAGAATTTATCCAATGCTACGTATGCTCGCCAGCTCGTCTTCTAACAAATTAATAAGTTTGAATTTCAAAAAAGAGGACACCTTTCTGTTTTTTGAAAATAACGCCGCTGTTTACATTTCGCTTTACGCGACATGTTCAAAACGAAGAACCAACTTCCAAGTTAACGTGGGCTAGTTTGATAAAGGACTCCTGTTTAAATTAAAGTCATTTAGAGGGAAAATAAGTACTGCTGTTCAAATACAGTCTAAGACATTTATTAGCACAGGAATTCCCTTGAAAGTAAGGGAATGTTAATTTTCACTGGAATGTGTAAATTTTGCCCGACAAAAAATGCTTAAAAACATATTTTACGTCAGAAAAATACTTTTTTGCGGAACGTGACGGGCGAAAAAGATAATCAACGTTTGATTTTTTCCGAGATGATCATTTGGATTTCAGTCCCCACGTTTCATGAGTTACGCCAATTAACGTACACTAAATAAGTCACAAGTAGACATCCCAGCCCCCAATATCTACTTAAAATATTATATCTTGATAAGGACTTGTTGATCACCACGTAACCACCTGAAAAACGAAAAGCTCAAATATCCCTCACTTTAGAAAATTTGAATTGTTTTAATCGAGCATATATTGCTTTAAGATAACGAATTTGGCCAGGGTTCGACATTTGGCACAGCGCCTACGCAAGGGATGGAACAGATGCCCTCGAAATTCGAACGACGGAAAGAACGCGTAAGGCCTGTGCGACTTCCCAAGCGATGCAATGTGGGCAAGAGACCCCGGAGAACCCCACTGGAATGCAATCAGGCCAGAAGAAGGCGGACCTGCTTCTCACACACGCAGTTAGCCGGACTTGAAGGCTACTTCTGTGCACAAAAATACCTCAGCGTGTCTGACAGAGCACTTCTGGCTACCCGTCTTGGTCTTAAAGAGACCCAAGTGAAGACCTGGTACCAGAATCGAAGGTAGGTGGAGTGGAGTTTATTGTAGAGAACACGAGCCACTGTGTTTAGTGTGACAAATACAGACTTAAGACAGCTTGCCTCTCTCAAATGGCTTTATTTCGGTCTGAAAGGCTGCTTATGTTTACCCGTGCAGCCTCTCCAACTTTATATATTCCGAGTTTGTACCTACTTAATATAAGGCAGTAGACATTTTTACTTCTTTGTAAATTCTACCTCGGCGCAGACGAGACTGCATTAGCTAAACACTAATTTGCAGACCTGCCTTCCGTCTTGACGGGCTGACGATGGCTAATAAGCCAGAAATTGCCATTCCAGTCTCCCTTGTCCTTGTCGGTAATATCATTCTGCCCGTATCATGCGCCGCTGTGTGGCTGTTGTTTGGGCTCGAGACACAACGGAACGAGTGAGTTCCGTAAGAACGATCGGTGAGCGCCCGCTACCATTATAAACATATATTTGTTGAAAAGAGACGGGTTCTGTGGGACAAGAGGATTTTTTGCGTAAGTTTTCGACGCTGGTCCCTAGGTCTTTGTCAGACACAAACTGAGAGCAAACGTGAAAGCATGAACCAGCTAACGTCACGAGTACACATAAAATCGATACTTGCATGGCGTGTGCGTTGGTAGGCGGCCGCCGTGTGTCAGCCTGATCTGGTTGGCTCCTTTCTCTTCCATTTCTTCTTCAGGTTTCTGTACACGGCATCCAAATGGACGAGACTGCATTAGCTAAACACTAATTCACAGACAGCCTTCTGTATAAATTCCTCGAACGTAATTCACTGCATCGTCCAAACATATAAACTTTACCTTTATGATGTTAAAGCTGAATGTCATGTTTTTCATTAATAAGAACAAAGTGGAAACGCCAACTTCTTATCTTCCGTGATTCGGTCTTTGGTCCCCAGCTGGATTACTTAAGAGCGCAACAATCTTCAGTCTTTTTCTCGAAGTTCAGTTCAGCAGACGTCAGCAGGCCAGTATCACCTCAGCTGGCTAAAGCAACTGCGAATATGACCGGAGGCTTCCTGAACAGTCCCCAAATATTCAACATAAATGGCTCCTGGAGATTTTAGGAGGATATTTCCATTCGACTGCGTTATATCTACTTTTTGTAATTTCCAAACCGCTATAAAATAATAATGCTTGACCTGGAGTTAGTGTTTGGTTTCAGTGGTGCCTCTGGCCTCCAGACTGACTGTATAGAACGTTTATCATAAATTAAAGCGTTTGTGTGAATTTAATTCTTAAATTTTGATTTGTCAGGGTTGTCAGACCATGAAAAGAAAATATGCCAAAGTGAGTCCTTTTAATAAATCTTGCCCCACTCGAGTACGTAAAAGTCGTGACTGAACCACGGCTTAGCGATTCCTGAGTTAGCTAACGTATGTTTTCGGTCGATTTGTTACTCATTCCTTTGACAAGTGGAAATTCAGAATGCTCATAGATCGTCATCTATCATATTAAGAATTGAGAATTGTTTTCAGTCAGTTAGTATGACTGTGACTCCTACCACCATCCAAAAAATGGCCTCCTGGTAGATGGCGTTTCGAGGGCGATTTAAGGAAACACACGGTCCGGTTGATGTAATGAGAAGTTAGCTAATAGTGTTAAGTTGTTGTTCTTGAATTCGAATAAACACGAGTCCCGACAACGGTCCAGATTAATATGTGCAAATATCCATATCCTTCTATTCTGGCCTTATATTTCTTAACTCGAACACGAGAATGACCATCAGTGCTCTGGAGGAGGAGGAGGAGAAGAAGAAGAAGAAGAAGAAGAAGAAGAAGAAGAAGAAGAAGAAGAAGAAGAAGAAGAAGGAGTGGTCATTTGAGCTTTATTTGGATTATGGAAAGGTAAAGTTGGCCATCGCCGGTCCCATCCGCTCATCTTGAGCTTCTCATGCCCTAGCAACAAGAGTATATTAAAAAAGATAGGGGACGGACTTGGATGTTGTAGCCGACTCAGCATGTAGTGCCTGCCTATGCGTGCCACAAATCGATTGATTTGCTTCTCGTATCTGAACCCCACTTGGCATAGAAATTAAGCGTATGCTGGAGATACGAGACAGCTATCTCCATCTTCTACCATCCTCCAGTCGCAGGTGCGATGGTCGACAACGCGAAGCCATGGAGGCTGGGGTCGGAATTGACTGACTATGTGATGTTCACGTCGCGGTAGCTTACGTCCTAGACAAACCCTAGCCACCGTAAACTTCAGGTCCAGTTCCAAATAGAAAGAGGAGAAGCTGGACGCCAGTAAAGACGGCATTGTGTTTTTGGTAACTTGCGGACACGAGGGGTTACAACTCGTAGGAAAGATGCGCTATTTATATTGGCTCCTGTGCGTTCTGGAACAGTCCGCCCAATGACGTGCCAGCCGTTGAGGGCATTCTAGAATGTTCCTGCCCCGGGCGTGCCGGTCGCTGATTGGCCACCGCCTGCGCGATACCCCCCCCCCCCTGCGGAAACGTCCGGAATGTTCGACCAATCATTGATGGGGTCGCAACTGTGAGAAAGCCACCACACGTGCTCGGCGCTGCAGTGCACGCCGGTCGGCCGTCTAACTTCACGCGTGTCTCAAGTCGTCGGCTTGGTCCCCTGTTCAGCGCCTTAGGCCATGGCTCTACGCCGCTTGCACTCTCCATAACACGGGCTTTGTCTGCTTGCGACCAATCAGCAAAGACAGCACTGTCTATCGGCCTCGAGCGCTGGTCATACTGGGTTCAAGTATGCGCGGCCCAAACAAACGATTGTCAGGGGACGTTAGACAGACCGGAGGTGACGTGAGTGAGCGGCTGTGCCGGTGATTGCGAGAGCAGCCGGCCACACAGTCCAATTCAGGAAAGTGACTC